TTAAAGAGCGTTAAATTCTTTCATGAAACGTAGCAAAATTAGTTGTTTATGATTTAAATTAATTGTGTACACAATCCGTATCAAAAACAAAAAGGCAAGAAAAAGTTTAAAGGGTACGATCAAAGTTAAATATTAAATGCAAATGTATTTTAAACAAATTTTTATCTCGGTAATACGATTGCGCGCCAATTGCTTTTGGATTTCCAACACAATCAATCTAAAATACTAATAATATCCCTAAATTTTACTAAATTGTTAATTTAATCCTACTAGCATCTGTAAAGAAAACTGTAAAGAACTTATTGCGAAAAATATATTACCTAAATTTAATTAAATATATATAAATATTATTCCAATATATATCTGATTTTTATTAGTAGCTTCTCTCATTTAGTTGATTTATTTATATATATATATAGCAGTCTTGTTTCTAACTTATTACTGTTCATTTTTTAAGTTGTGTTACTTTTGAAGGGAATAATATAACTTGCATAGTTATATCATCTTTATAGTTAATACCACTATATTCTTGACAAGTGTAGAATGTCCATTCATCAATACTGTCGATAGCTTTGATCAAAGCTACCGACGGCTATAAACTTCGAAACGTTTCGCTATAACGTGTTAGTCATCGGTCACTAATTATACTAATTATACTAATTAGACTTCCAATCAACGGTTGCATCGCACGTTAACCGAAAGACGAAACCGCTTATTAAATCCGGCTTTAATGCTTGTATGCCGTCCGGTAATGTAACACATTCTTCGGGATCGCGTATAGTTTCCACCATGGGCAAAGGACGCTCACACTCGCCCTCACGAGACCCCGGCGAGGTTGTTAAGGTCATCCAATTCAAAGGAAGGTTACGTCAAGGTCATCGCGGCGGATGATGCGATGTTTGTAAGGCGTAAATTCGCATCATGATGTCGGTTTGTGTCGTGGTTCGCACGGATATACCGGATTTTCACTTTCGTTTAACAGCCACGTGAATTTCAACGTCCTCTGTACCTTTCTCTTTCAAGAATCGCGTAAATTACACAAACTTACCTTAATGACGTAACGGCATGCAAATTGTATGAGTTTTCACTTACGTCAAGGTTTAAGGAACTCGTTTAATTTTTGCATAAGAAGGACGGTTTTACTAAAGAGTGACTACAATTTAGCTAGATAAAAATCTGAAAATAATTTTGTTGGCCATCAGAATAATTGTGTAGGACGTTGAAACTCTAGTTGCTGGTGGAATGTCAAAACTTTTTACAAGAATTACTCATCATGCTTGAGATTCCTACATATAGTTATTTTGAATCTGATGAAATTATTTTCAAATCTAACTAAATCTTTAGACAGGATAGATTAAAGAGAATCGAAAATCATTTTTTTATTTTATACTAACAACAACTATCAATTAACTGTATTTAACATTATACTGATCCGGTTTTCAAATTAAAATAAAAAAATATAATTGTTGAAATATAATTAAATAATTGTTTCTCAAAATCAGATCAAGTAGAATCTAATTGATAAAGAGAAAGACATCGGGATAATCAATGTTAGCTTCTAACTCTTTCGCATGACTAATATTAATTTGAAGCGACATAAATTTTACGCCAATAGCCTCCGGGACTCGAAGGGAAGGCGCGTTCAACATCGATCTGGCCGCGAATTTAATATGCTGATCGTAACAATAATGCATTCTTTATTAACGAGCAGTTGGCGTTAGTCGTTAGAAATTGAATATAAGCTTGGCTTTACGATACCTATGATTAGAACGCCTCGATCACAGATTTGAATGGCTCACGATAAATAGCGGAACACGCCCGCAACGCGTGTTTTTTGTTGTAATCAGAAGCCGACGAATTTATTTTACATGAGGTCAGCTAGGCAACGCCGTGCAAAGTTATAGTAGCTGACTCATTAATCGCCTGTCGCAGTCGTAATAAGCCCTTAATCTTCTCGCGGATCCGCTACCTGTGAGTAACTGCCGTTCCGAAGGCGTCGTAAGTCCCGTGAATCTCGAATATCTTGAGAAACTCTACGTCTTTGGGTGGAGGAGTGTGCATAAGGAAAACCGTACGAACGTTCCACCAGATGACTAATTACAGTAATTAATTCATTTAATAAATAATATCTTTGCAACTGCGGTCATGCCGGACTGTAGCGAATTTGACTCACGCGACCAAAAGTTCATGTGAACAATATGCCTTTAAGATTTTTCGCCGAAAGACGATAACACCGTACACAACTTAGGAGGAGAAGACTTTTGCTGATATTATTTTTCTCATATTCACGAAGTTTTTGGCCGTCGGTCCAGCGGCAAACTTCAAATATAAGACAAATGTATATTATTGCGCAAACTTGTAAAAAGATACGTGCGGTGTATGACGAAAGTGCCATAAAAGAACGCGGGTGCCAGAAGTAGTTTGCGCGATTTCGTTCCAGAGATTTTTCTGTCCAAGACGTACCACGCTTAATGCTTCTTTGATAAAAAAGAAATACAAAGTTTTGAGAAGGGGATTATGAAGATGTTCGAAAGATAGCAAATAGTGAATTAATAAAAGGCTAATAATTCTTGACTAAAATTATTGTCTTCTATAAAGAAATTGTCTTTCATTTATAGATAAAAATTGCACTAAATTATGGTTCCCCAATATTATATTGCGTTCATCTTACGAAAACAACGAATTTTTATTCATTTTTATATCATTAATTTACATATTTTTCTATACACATGCAAAGTTTGAAATATTCTAAAATTTCCAAAATTTCTTACACTATAATTTCTGATGAAATCGTATAAAATCTAAAAAAAAGTTAAAGATACTTTTTTAGAAATTATAGAATGAAAAATTTTATAAATCTCAGAATATTTAGGAATTTATTGTATACAAAAATTTTGAGAAAAATTTTCACATATACATATATATGTAGTTCATTTACATGATAGACAAGAACATGATGACATTAATTCTGTAAATTTAGTTATGAAATATTCTGGATGCAATATTTTGTGCGATTGGTTCATTAGGACTCTCTAAAGCCGCAAGTTTGCTCTGAGGATTAATTACAGATCAATCATGGGCGGTGTCAAGGTATTTTTCTCAAACGAGATTATGTATTGACGCTCGGAATGATACATCGGGAAATGTATGCGGAGCCGACAAACGAGATTAATCGTGGCCGAATACGGTGGATTGTTGCACTCGCAATTAAAGTACGTTAATAAAGCACCGGAGGCAAATCGTTTCGCGCTCAACGGAATGTGAAAGTAGATAAGTCGCCGCAACTATAGTTGTGTACCTCGTGCCGGTCTCGATGGCGAGCGGCAAACCTCATTATCGGTTTCCAACTTAATTGAGGTTGGTTTCGTTAACGGATTACGACTCTGGATCGGTTCCGCAAACCAATTCAACGTCGGAACAAATGTCATTATCACGATCAACAACTTACGAGCGAGCTCGGCAGTACGTGCCAATTAAAATGCCACCTTCAAACTGGTGACCGCCGGACTTTACTTTTTCATCATCGCTCGTAATCTCCATCCATATAAATATCGATAAGATCAGCATGAGCGATCAAACCGGATGATTACATAGCAATATCGCGTTATGCAAGCTCTAACTTTTTTAAACTGTCAACGTCGTTGAATTTTACGGCTTAATTCAAAAGATAATAAATCAAGCTCTTGTCATGATATAATTAACTATTAATATTACGAAGGAAACGTGACTATCACCAAAAAGGCGACGTTAATATACTTCTCCCTTTAATAATTATCCTGAAATAACCAGCTGGCCGGAAACTTGCGGCCCACGCAACGGTATACTCGTTATTCCCATCGTTTGGACCCTGAAAAAAATATCAAAATATACTTTCTATCATCGTATAACGTAGCCGTATATCAGAAAAGTGGATGTCGTATATTAGAAGGCACGGCAAGCGGCGATGGCGTTTCTCGAGATGGCGTGACTCCAGCGCTATCGCATGGCAACCTTGCCGTGCATTATCGCCGATTAATAAGCCCTACGTTCTAAGAAAGCACCTCGGGGTTACGTACTTACTCGACATGCATCCCGCGTTCGTGGATCATCGCCACGAGGGAGAGGAAGAATTGCCTCGGTCTTTAACATCGCGCACTCATCTCTTTTATGTGCGAGAGAGAGAGAGAGAGAGAGAGAGAGAGAGAGAGAGAGAGAGAGAGAGAGAGGGAGAGGGGGAGAAGGAAGTGGGGCCGATCACGGAACTTACAGACACGGAGAGATGATTTCGAGTTTCCTTCGGAAATCTCCCGACAATGTACGTTAACTCGTCTCACGACTGGCAATTTGCAAATTTCCATTTCGTTCCAGCGCAGCTGCTTCGCGAGAGAACACGGCATCTAAACCGATTCTGCATAACCATACATAATTCTTATCTACGCAACAACGAATTGGAGTAAGTTATAACATGAAAATATATATACCAAATCCGTAAAGAACGCAGTTTTGCTGAAGTATCTAAAATTTAGCTAAATACTAATCCGAAAATAATTTCGTTAGATCATCAATCAAAACAATGTAGAACGCTGAAATGTCAAAACTTTTTGCAGCATTTGCTCATCATACTTGAGATTCCTACGTAATTATTTTGATGGTTCGACAAAATTATTTTCAAACCTGTATCTAGCTAAATTTTTAGATTACTTAAGCAAAATTATTCCTCCCACAGTTTAATAAAACAAAATTAATTAAATAAATATAAAATCTTAAACTATAAGAGATTTTCTTTAGCATTGACGAACGTACACATTCAATTTGTAATTGCAGTAAAATCCTACCCCAAATTTGTGTCTATTTCTCTCCCGTATCTCTCTCTCTCTCTCTCTCTCTCTCTCTCTCTCTCTGTCTGTTGTTTGTAAAAATCATAATTTACGTTTCGCGAAAATCGGCGGGATTTAATGATCGAAGCAACGCTGGCAGTTTCCGTCGCCGTAAATTACGATGACCGATTCTCAGGGAGACCCTTAGCGCGCATCGGCGGCAGAGTTCGACCTTCTCGCACGCTCCTTCGTCGAGGACTCGGCGAAATAATCGACCACGTTCCTGCGTTCCATGTACGACGGCGATGGTGGTGGTGGTGGTGGTGGTGGTGATGGCGACTCCTTGGGCGGGGTGAGCGTACTGTACAGTTAGGATTTCGAAGAGGCGAGGAACATAATGAGAGAAACGTGCTGCCCCTTGACCCGCGCTGCGCGCACGGCTGCACCCTTGCCCATATATTCGCATCGAGACGAAATTCTCGTTATGCGATACAGATAACTAGAGGGGTCCGCTTGCGAAGCAAGGTGTATCAAGATGACATGGAAATCCACGTTTGGAGTTGATTAAACGAGAAACATGCGAGGATTATTATCTCCACCATCATATGCACGCAGGACCAGTTTTACGCAAAGAATTCCTCGCAGGGGAACACCAATTAATATGTTTCCGTATAAAAATCTACGCGCTGAAACGTGAGGTAGAATTTATAACGATAAAATTTTAATAAGAGTACTTAACATCGTATGTACGCGTAAAGACGACAAAAATAGTTTAGATATATTATGATATGGACCAGAAAGATTCAAATTGATTTCCTTTAGGTCGGTTAAATACAAAACTTTATAAAGAATTTAAATGAAGAACCCCTAAGACACAGTTCTGAGACTTACTAAAGGAACCGAGTATTAAGTACTAATTATATCTGCAAGACCGATACTCCCCATAAGACCGCGTCGATTAATTATTAGACAGGTCGGGGCAAGACTGGGACGACTAGTCTCTCTCGAGAAACGAAGAACTTTGTCGTTAAAGAATTTCTCGATGCATCTTACGTATCGTCTCTACGCCGGTCAGTTATCGCGCGAGTGGACTGGTACGATTTTTATCACGCACAATGTCGAGTTATCCACGCTCGTTATCGCAGAAGAGTATTTATAGCGATATGATCCAAGGAGATATTCTCAACGAACGATCCGACAAGAAATAGATTTACACATAGGATAAACTTATTGTAAAAATTAAGTCTATAAAAAATAACATTATAAGTACATATATCGATTAAGTAAAATAAAATTAGACAGTTGTTTCGATCTACAGATATCGCATGTATGTTGTGTTCATGAATCTTTTTATTAATGCACTTACGACATGCTGCCTTCGTACGCGGACTGACAACGTGTTGTTTGAAATCGTTAATTATAACGATTATAATTAATGATGTCAATAAGAAAACCGGTATAATTTCCTCTACTTGTTTTTCGCACACCTCTTAGCACGAACAAACTGTCTCGATTACGACAGCTGGCTTCAAAATTAAGGAACGTCAGTAGCAATTGTGTGACGCGAATTGTCGTGTTTGCAAAAAGGATGTGTCGCAAGAAAGCGCGTCACACCTCAGCAAGGACTCGTGCCGAGGACATACATACGAAAATCTTGTCTTGAGACAATAAAGATAAATTGGCCATTCTCTAACAAGTTGCGTTGCGCAACGAGCTTTCATTAACTCTCTCGTCGCACCTCTCGGGATCCAATCCCACGCCTCATTGACCGACTACTGACTGAGTGACTTACTGCAGAATCCTTCCGTCGTTACGAAAGGACTGATTATTTCAACGGCTCATTGTTGCCAGCGTGCGCTTCCGCGTATGTCACGCTCTCGCGCGAATTTCCCGTGCAATCTCCGTGAATTCACGCAACACCATCGGATGAGACACGTCTCGTTCGCTATCATTGAGAAAACGACAGAAACGTGACACAATTACAAGCGAGAGTTGCAGTTTCTCTATATAATTCCGGATAATGCGATTTAATGACAGCTACGAGAAGAGTTTTGCAGGATGTGCTCACAGAAGTGCGCCACACATTTTATAATTCACAAAATCACAAAAGTAATTCCTTTTTTTACAAAGAATTATTAATTTATTATTTGAGAATTCTATTTACTTCCAATTCTGATTCTTCTATTAAATCTATACGTACTACAGATAAAGTATGTAAAAATACATAAATCATGTATATAAAAATAATCTGTAGTGGAAATAAAATTATACTTTTCGAAAAGAAGATGTAGGCAAAATAAATACTTTTATAATACTCTTGTAATGAGACGATACCAATTTGATCATAATTTTTTAATAATGTTGTAGTACTGTAATGCTTTTTGGGAGGATGACTTATTAAAAATTAATAAAGAATTTAAAATAAATCAATACAAATAAGAAAAAGGGCACAGAGCCAAGTATGTTTAACGTACGTATAATTTAAAAAATATATAAATATAAAATTTTCAGACGCTTCGACTCCGATCGGGTCATTTTCAATGTACAAATGTAGAATTCAAATATAAATTTAAAAAATACAATAAATATAAACATTCTTCAATTAAATATATATAAAATAATACAAAAATTATGAACATTCTAATTTAAAATAAATAATAGAGATGTTATCACATTGTGCTCGAGTAAATTAAACGTACGTTATTCAATGACTTAATAAAATTCTATGATATTGAAAACTCTGTTCTAATAGAGATAATGATATCCGCTCGTCTCGGACTGTCACGCGGCAACTCTCGACTGCCGAAAGCAGGATGCTACGATAGTTCTGATATATCCGCGGGACGTGGGCAGAAATCCAAGGTAAGTGGCATGCCGTAGCGTGCCGACATTAAATCGTTGCCTCTGATACTGAACCGAAGACGTGGTATATACGCGTATTATCTCGTTGTTCGGACAGGCTATACGTGGAATATAGAGCACTTTACTCTGGTCATGGTAACGACGGACCACTTAGTCCGGGTAACGACCGCTACAACCTGGAGCATCATCAAGCTGTCCATCGGATCGTACACTTCGTTGGTTGGTGACCTTTACGCCATAGGACCATGATGTTCCATTTGCGCGGAGATTGAAAATTCCATTCGCGCGGAGATTGCGCGGGAACGCGCATGCAGAAGCCAAAAAGCATTAAACACTGTGACGGCTGACTAACGTCGGGATTTGCAATTCATCCACCGTCTTAATGATGGATTAAATACATTTAATTTAAGCCCTGTACGTTCGTCGTATAACCCATACTCGAAATAAATTCCGCTCGCCGCGGAACGCAATTAAATTAAATTTCAGAGAATCGGCCATGTTACTTCTATTATTCTTGAATTTTTTAATGATTCCTTGAAATATATTTGCATGTATAAGATATCCTTTATTTATTAATTTTGACTACATTTTAAAGCGAATTTTATTTCAGCGAATAAAAAGGCTGCGTACGTTATATATATGTATGTATATATATTTATAACAGTTATTATATTTTAATTATTACATCTAATGTTCGATTTTTTTTCCATATCACCAAGTATTGCAATCAACTGATACAATTTTTGTTGAATTAAAAAACCGCTCACATACAGTATTAACTACTTTGTTTCAAAGCGATTAGTCACGACTAAACCATTTTGCATAGTTCAAATGAAATAGCAATCGACGTTGGCATACACGCTATCCAAATCGAGATTAATTGTCTAGTCATGTGTAATTGGGACGTGTTATCTGCACAGTATCTATTATTCCCAATATATGTATATAAAATATTAGATTTTCCAAGAAATATTTAATTTATAGAAATATAGAAGATTATTATAATTTATATAAATATTATATTTTTTGTTAAATATCATTTAAAAGATTCTATAATATATTCTGAGACAATGTGTGTGTAAAAATTGAGAAAGTATCTAGTATTTTGACAACACAGTTGTTCAAAGAGTTTCCTATTCATATTATTATTTTTAAATTTTTTTATTATAGAAAACAAATATTAATAAATATTAACAGTATTCCATTGTATAATATTTAGTCGCGCGAGACATTATGAAACGACATCTGCATTATCTAAACATTCTATGTACATAACATACGCGACAGTTAATTTTTTTGACAATGAATAAATACGCACTAATTCTTTTTCCTATTATTTCACTAATCCAATTACGCAAAGTGATTTTTTATAACAAAGATATATAATAAAATTTTATATTTTAACACGCCAAGCTTATCTTTAAGAAAAATATAATTTTGGAAATTTATATCAATTTCAAAATTAGATATATTCTTTTAGAACAGCATTATATATCGCAAAGTCGCAATATGAGTATTAAAATTCATGGAAGGTATTTAAGAGAAGGCATATATATTGATACGCTTGGTTGCACATGCGAATTATTGCCAGTAATATCAAGAAAATAAGCCAAGGTATCGAATATAGACACTAGAAAATAATTTCGTATTGCACTTATAAATATTACTTCCAATCTATTTTACTTATGTCAAAATAACACATCAAATATATCACGATTTTCTTAAGATTTAACTCCAACGTCTACGATAATAGATAATAAAAATGTTAACAATGTAGCAAGCACATATATAATTGTCTAAAAATAAATGTTTAAGTATTTAATACGTTAACTGTAATAATTATAATTTATAATTCTTCGTAGAAAATGTATAGGTTTACGAATACAGGTTTGCGTAAATTGTTGTATCGTCCAAGTGAGTGTTTTCGGGAAATTGGGAAGATCAAATCTGCTCAGACATGCAATTTGAGAATCTTGTTCAAACGAGACTGTCAGGCCAATAAATGTGCGACAGTTATGGACTGTGAAGCGTCACGATAAGAGAATGCATTGTTTCTGCGAGTTCTTTCGCGACGGCAAGTTGGTCCGTGGCAGACCGGTCCTTAAGTGGGCAATGTTCAGGATCACTGTCGGATCGATTCAGCGAACAGTCGTCTTCTATACGCATTCAGGTCCAACCGGGCGAATGTTTTATACGCGTAGTACGGTGGAATCAGAAACAGGTATGCACACTGGACTGATTGCGAGGAATGTGGAGGCTCGTTTCTAGCACGCCTGGGATAATATTCTCTTCGGCGACGGTCACGTTTCCACGCCGCATCGAAAGGCTTCTTTTCCTTCAACGAAGGAAGTCGTCCTCACATGCAATCGTCGTGAAAAAAAAGCAAACTTTGCGGCATTGAAACTTGTTCGACGTTACGAAAAATTGCACAATCATTTTAGCTTAATACGTACTACTGAAACGAGCTACATAACGGCCTAAGGGTAAAAAGAATTTAAA